TTTTTTGCGAAACCATGGATTAAACTCAGGCCCTTGCACTTGCCAGGGAAGTGCTTATTCTACTGAACTATCTTCCTGGCCCTAAATGGACATTAGAAGATCAACTAGGACATGGGCTACAACTATAGGGTTTTTTTTTTTCTTTTTTTCATGGTACCAGGGATTGAACTCAGGACCTTCTGCTTGCCAGGCAAACACTTATTCCACTGAGCTATCTCCCTGCCCCTACAACTGCCTTGTGTGGCACATAAAATATATAATACAATGAATTTATATGAGTAACAAATTTCCATTTTAGTATTTTAATTACAACTTTTTTTAAAGAGGGAAAAAAAAACAAGCCACCGATTTCTACTGTCTAAAATTTTCAATTAATTAAAAATTCAGAGGTTCTGAAATACTGAAAATCACACTAAATTTTTTAAAAGACCTTAAAAATTAGGACTGTCAGGTTCATGTAACACCCAAATGCAGTAAGAGCATCTAAATTCTGCATTTAATGAGCCTAAGAAGACAGATGAGTAGCAAATGCCACATTCTGCCACATCCAAGCAAATTAGAGAGAAATGAAGACTGTACAGTAATATTCAGGTCTTTGAAAACTATGTTTAACTTTTTCTTGAATATAATATATTGTGTGTTAATTATCAATGTTTTAAACTAATTTTGAACCCAGTATTCTTCACCATATGATAAGGCACAGAAATTCTGCCAAATCACTTTCCATTCTCTATCGCCCCCTCACTCACTCTCTAAACTCGTAACTGTCAGTACAGGTGGGAATCAGAATCACCAAGCAGGTGATGAACACAAGGACTCTGCCCTTGCCTCGTAGTCTCAGACCCAGGGAGTCTGGGGGGCTGAGGATGTGCACTTCCCACAGAAGTTGGTGACCTGTGTGGTAGCCCAGGTCCAGCTCTGAGTACTGCAGCTCTCAGGGGTTCTTTTTTAAGCACCTGCTTAATTGTTTCTTGTGATTCACTGACCTGAACTTTCCATTTATTTTCCTCTGCCTCCACACTTTTTTGTAGCTTCTGTAAAATTCCTTCCTACAGACAAAGATACGGTTTTGCAGAATTTATGGTATAATGCCATGAAAGGAAAAGTTAATAGTATAATATGATATAGATTAAAAGTCATTTCCCACTGTTTCTGCAAGGACTGATTTATATGTACCACACTCCAGTTGTAATAATATGAACATTTTCCTAAATTGAAAAAACAAACCATAACAAGGTGTTAGAAAACAAAAACAAAAACCTAAGTTTTACCAGTAAGTTCTGTGCTTCAACTTTGTTTGAGGACTTAGTTTTATATTCCAAAAATGGCTTCAAAGAGTTTATAACAAAACACTAGGTGGCAATTAATTACATGTTCATGGTGGCAGAAGAGAGCAAAAAAAAAAAAAAAAAAGACAAAGGGGCGGGGGGGGGCGGCTCTCTTTGTCTCCTATATTGTAAATAGTCTTCCTGCCCACAAGATCTCCATGGTTTCCTAATGCATGGGTTCAAAACACTGGCCACCTGCCAAATCACTTAGGTTACTAAACATCTCAATTCTCAAGTTGACACAATGTATCTACTAGAATACAGCCACACATGTGAAAACCATAATGCCTATGCCACACAATGCCTTTACCTACTGCCAATGAAGTTATCCAAATGAATAACAATAATAAATCCTCTCAATTTCATATGTCAAAGATAAAAACCAAGACAGATTGTGATACTCCTACTTATTGATTGGGGGCAACTTGAGCAAACTGGTGGCAATCTACCTATTTACCTCAATGACTGATTTTTTAAAACTTAGGCTAATGTTTGCTTTGACAACACAGACACTACAATGGAAATGCTATAGTGAAGATTAGCAGGGCCTCTGTGCAAGGATGCCAGCAAATGCATGGCATGTTTTATATGTCTGAATGAAAAATGGGCTAGAAGAATAGAATGAGGGGCAAGAATACCCCAGAACCACTCCCCAAGATGTTTGCAAACTCCATGCACTACAAATATGTACTAATAAAGAATTTTTTTAAAAAAAAGGCTAGACAGAGAGCAAGAGTTAATTAGCTTTCTACATAAATTAAATACAAATAAGACACAAAAAAATATACACAATATGATTACTTCTTCATACTTTCCTCAAAAGATTATCTTCTAAAGGCACATTCTTTATCTCTTCAGAACATATGAAAGCAAGTTCTGACTTGCTTTTTCTCAACTTCCATTAATACACAGACAATTCACTTCTTCAACTAACCTTAACTTCCTCTGGACCTGAAGGTCCAGTTTTCACATTCTGTTGCTTTCTTTTTAAATCCATGCAACCAACCATTCAATGTAACTGTGGAGAAAAGTCAAAGTCATCAATTTCCAAAAAGTATCATTTCCAAAGAAATGATCAAACATTTAAGACAACTAATTAGGGAATTCTAAAAGAAACCTATGAAGACATCAAAATAGCCCGAGAACTTTCAAGGGGAATGTAATTTTCATTAACTAGAGCATAATCCAGTCTTGAAAATAAACACTAAAAATATTACTATGTATTAACATCAAAATAAAATCTTATTTGTCTGACCAAGAATATTTCAATTATGAACTTGGAAGTAGAAGACCCAGGCTCAAGTCTGTCTTCTTCCTCTTTTTTTTTTTTTAAATTTTAGGTATCTGGTACAGGGTCTCACTGCCCAGCTCAGACTCATAGTGATGCTCTTGTAATCAGCCTCCCTAGTGTTCTAAATACAGGTGTGCACCACCACGCCTGGTCTTCTACCTCTTATGAACACCAGGACTAGTGAGCTCAATCTTTAAAACACTGAAAATCGGGGATGATTAATTTTTTTTTATTTTATTATTTATTTTTTGGTGAACAGCGTCTCACTACACAGCTCTGACTCATAGTGATCCTCCTGTTTTCTGCGCCCCCAGTGCTGGGATTACAGGCGTGCACCACCACACCTGCAATCCACTGCCCAATAAGCACATAGGGCCAGAGCAGCATATAGTGCCAGGAATCAATCCCTGGCCCCTGTGCTTGCCTAAGCAAGCATTAGTCCTCTAAACTATCTTGCCAGCGCTAACTTTTGAATTTTTTTTTCAAGCAAGATAGTTGTTTTTTTTTTGAAAAACGTGTTTAGTACAGGGTCTACAGGGTCTCATTACACAGATTGAACTTGTAGTGGTCCGCTTGTTTTCAGCCTCTCAAGCACTGGGATTACAGGCATGTACCACCACACCCAGTCTCAACTGCCACCTTAGCACCAGCATAGCCTGATCCCCAGCATGCCAGGGATCAAACCCCGACCACTGTGTTCTGCCTAAGTAGGCACTTTATTTATTTATTTATTTTTTTAGGTTATTTAGATCAAGGAATAGTTTATTTATTTATTTATTTATTTTTCTTTTTTTTCCATAATTTTATTGATAAACAAATACTAATGAGACAGTTTCAAATCAAAGGGATAGGACAGTTTCAATAATTAACACATTGTGTACAATCTTTCTAGTGGT